GGGGGGGGCTCGGGAAATACGCCAAGAACGTCGTGGTGTTTCAGATCCCAGGAGATGTCCTTCCCTCCACACTGAATGGGCCGAGGTTACGGTTTTGTGGCCACGCTAAATAACAAGTCAACCCCGGGCCATCAAAAAACGACAACTCGCGTCTAGCCTAGCGTACGTACGTGGTTACGCTGACATGCTGCGGTATCAAGCTGTCTTTTTTCATTATTTCCAACATCTAATCACAAGACGTGGTGACGGCACACTCAAGTTTTTTAAACTTATATTAATGCCACCACCAACACAGGGGACAATACAATACTCATTTTCACCTGAGCGAAGTGAGGAAAGTCGTGTAAAGAAAGTGTCTTTCCCAAGGGCACAAGATCGGTGGCATGTCAGGACTCGAACCAGGGACCTCTAGGTTCCAAGTCGAGCACTCTGCCGCTACGCCACACGACCCCACTGACCACACAAGCTGTCTCTCTTCTCCCAAACGGCTGACTTCGTAAAAATACATTTCCCGTGACGCCAAAAGGCCACAGAAGATAGTCTCGTACAATGTAGCAACAAAAAAACCGATACAACCAATATGGCGAGGCCTTCATGATAGTACCAAGATGTTTTATTAGGAAATGGAATCTTGTATGTAATCAATAGTATTTAGTAATTTAGTATCTAAAATTGATCAATCGTATTTACAATAGAACGAGCGTGGTCATCAGTAAGCATATTTGTAGTTTTAATCAAAATCCTGGGCACGACATGTAGTCTCCACCATACTACTTTGCGGGCTGAATAAATAGCAGAAATTGTCTTAAAACAGAATATCACTGACCACGTACGGCCGACTTCTCCCTTGTTAATGTTATTGTCCAACACTTGTCTCTGTTAACCTTGAAACGCATTTGTCAACAGACAATACTAGTACCATTATCAACATGAAGTAAAAACGCATAGAAGGTCCACTTTGCAGGTAAAGGCGTCTGGTGGAGACTATACAACATGTAAGGGAAAGTTAAAAATTGTCCACTGTCAGCCAGAATCAGCTCATCATCATCATATCTTGTCGGCCCACTGCTCCAGCCAGTCCAGGGCCTCTTGGTTTGCATCCTACAGGTCTCGTTTGGTGACAGATGGTCCAAATTCGCAGTCCTGTAGGATGTGTTGCATGGTTTGGGTAGGGTGTCCACATGGGCAGTCAGCTGAGCTCACCCGTCCCCATTTTAGCTCTGGTCCTACCTACTCCACACCTAGCTCTGTTCAAGGCAGCCCATTTCCTTCTAGGCAAATGAGTGCCATGAGGTAGGGACTCACATGGGCTCTGTAGAGCTTCCTTTGGAGGAGGAGGGTCTAAAGTTCTCCACTGGTCCAGTCGGTACGTGGCAGAGTCCTTACCACCAGAATCAGCTGAAGAGGAAGTAGTCGACTCCTTCCCGAAGATTGAGAGACGCGAGATTCTTCTCAAACTGTCCCCCCGTCAGGTCCTGAGTACAGACACAACCACTGTCAATGGTATCATGAAAGTTCATCTGTGTTGGTATAGTTACATGTTCAAAGTTAAAACTTTTGGTCCAACGCAAAAAATTCTCTCACCTAGACCTTTCGACCAGTCACTCTGGTCTTCCTCAGTAGACTGACCCTCAGATACCTTTGACCCAGTGTTGACGTCACACTTCAAAGAAGCCACGTGACAAGCTTCACTGGGTCAGTCTACTGAGGAAGACCAGAGTGACTGGTCGAAAGCTCTAGGTGAGAGAATTTTTTGTGTTGGAACAAAAGTTTTAACTTTAACCACTGTGAACGTTAGTCATGCAGAGATACAACATGTCATTGACGTAACTGATCTCCAAGCAGATTCTGTGGGGCAAGGGGAGTATATATTGGCTGCCTGTATCCGTTAGCCTTCTGTACATTAGTGTAACCATTGGTTGCCCAACGCCAATAGTTAGAGGAGGCCAATATAGACTCTCCTTGACCCACAGAATCTGCTTGGAAATTATGACAAAACACCATCAGTGCTACGTACATGCATGTGTGTTGGGATTGGTACTGCTGACTCATGGTTGAACATGGTCCACACCCAAATGCTTGAAACATTTTGCAACATTTGGTTGGCGAACACCAGTAGCCGAACAGTAGCCGAACATAGTCTCTACCAGACTAACTACGCTGGCTATATATATATATATAGGAGTCTATTTGCCAGGGGAGTGTGGCCGCCTTGTAGGTTTGACTATGCCTTCGGAGGGAAAGAAACTACCTCCCCACGGCTGGACTCCCTTGGCCAATTTGATACTCTTTTTTACCGAATTCTATAATCCGTATTCCCGTAGAAAGGCCTGGTGGAGGCTAAGCCGAACACCAGCCGACCTTGATCCTGACCTACTCCTAACCATGGTTAGGGGAGTTAAGCAGTGTTCGGGAGGTCATATCCAGCTATATGTGTAACAGGGGCTTAAGCCCCAAACAGTACAAGGTGCTTTATTCAACATTATTTATCTTGCTATTCAAACATCATGTGTATCACCAGGCAGAGTGACTGACAATTAGATCCAGATATTTTCAGACACAGTTAACCACTACATGATTGACCAATTTCAAGTTGTCTTACTTGCCCAGACGATCATTTTCTGCCATAATTTTCTCCTGCAAATTTCCTAATGCACAAAAGTAGCAGCACAGGAACTTGTCTAATCTTATATATATCACACACATACACAGATAATAGATACAGCTACTAAAAGTCCATTAGAGCACATTATGCGTCACCCTTACATAAGTGATTTGAGCACAGCAGACTAAAGTACATCAATGTAAAAGCCTGGTTTGGCAGGCGGGAAATTAGTGTTGACAGAAAAATTTACATCCCAGTTGTGCTGTGCTTTGGGAGAGAAATACAGGACGTACATGGAAAATATGTGGTTTATGTGCCAGGGCTCGAAATTCGTTTTTGAGAATAGATGCACTGGTGCACCCAACCTAAAAAATTAGGTGCACAAAACATTTTTTGGGTGCACCATGTAAAAAAAAACCTAATTGCAGGTCTTACTGATTCTCTTCTGAGCTTGAATCTAAAATGAGAGCTAACTTCAAAATCTAAAACATTTAACTACAACAAAGATTTTATTATTTTTCTGATACTTAGAGACCAAGAATATCCGGTAAACTATCATACACTTCTAATGTTAAAAATTCCTACAAAAATATTTGGGTGCACCAGTGCACCCACAGAAAAAAATTTAGGTGCACAACTCCAATTTTGGGTGCACTAGGGTGCACATGCACCCAGTATTTCCAGCCCTCTGTGCACAAGTCATGTCAGGCCACGCTGTTTTATGGATGCCACCTACGCACTCCTGGGGTTTGGGCCGTTTTTATGCTGAATAAAAAGGAAATCCTGCCACTACAGAACTACCCTAACAAGCAAAGGGGCGAAACACTAACATAAATTGTACAATTGTAAAAAAAAAACAATGGCTACAGAGTTACCGCAACGAGCAAAGGTACGCAACACTGACATAAATTGTACAACTGTAAAAAAAAACAACAACAGAATTTGTCCAATGCCCGATTCCCAAACAAGACAACCTATCTCCCGAAAGAATAAAGTATCCACCGTGCCACCGTGATGCCACCGTCAAAATTTTGGGGCAATATGCGACCAAATCAGTCGCAGTCACGAGCCCTGTAACAGATACAAATACAGAATCTCTACAGACTCAGGTCTGTTGGAGAGTTCTCTTCTCTGAGTCTGCTCTTCTGCACAGTGCATTGGTCAAGACTAAGCGGAAAGAAGCCCACGCAAGATAAGTCATTTGTGTTTCTTTCTATTTTTGTCTTTGGGACATCCACTGAATCATTTTTGCACCCCTTTAATCACTTTACTCTAAATAGCAGGCTTAGCATAAAGTGAGCCACACATGGAGAGCCACACTGCAATTAGAACCAGTAAGGTCGGGCAGGAATATAAGGCCACACCAATTTAATTTGTTGGTTCTCGTATTTTTTCAGAAAAAATTAGAAGCGACAATTAAAACAATAGAGTTTGAACTTTTGATGAAACAAAATTGCATGATAGTTATATTGAAAAGCTTAAGAACTAGAAAGAAAAGGACTTTTTTCAATCGTTGGGGCCAAAATATGTCTTTCATTGAGCATTTTGCAGTTAATTTAGAACCAAAAAAATTTTGCAAATCAGAAAAAAATGGACAGGGCGATCCGAGAAGCAACAAATTAAATTGGTGTGGCCTAATGGGTGATACAGCTGCTACTTAACAGAAATAATAGTGTATCACCAGGGTTACTACAGGTTACATACAGGCAGCCTTTGTTCACAATCTGGTAATCAGTGGGGTGACACAGGAAAACGTGAGCAATCACCTGTTTTGTCTTCCTGACTCCATTTTGTGATGGAAAAGCTAAATAATATAAAGGAATATAAAGAAGAAACCAACAGCATGCACACACGGGTTACTCCAGGTTATGCACACTCACAGATGACCTCCTAACAACTTTCAGTACATATCTTAGCCTCCTGTGCAGGCTCCGGGGCGGGTGGAAATTTTGATACAGCGTTTCTGTATCAAACAGTGGAATGTTCTACAAGTGTTGTGTAACTGTGGAATGGAACCTTCTCTCGGCGGCTGGTTTGGTGCACCAGTTCACCTATTCCCCAAATGAATTTCGGGTACACTTGATTGAAACTTTTAACAAAAACCTGACAGAACAAAACTTTCAGTGCTTATAGATCTGCTCCTATAGCCCTTAGGCCACACAGTTAAGCACTACAGCAGTTGTTCACTGTACATGTGACCTTTCTGATCTAAGTGCTGACTGCTAAACAGAAAAAAACACATGCACATGACACATAAACCTTAAGACCTTACACGTTAAGAAAAACCTAACAGTGACAGAACAAAAGCTACATACGCACCCAAGCATACAAAAACTGTGCACTTAACACTCTTCCAGTGTGTAAATTAGCGTGCTTTGACGTACGTAAGAAGATTTTGAGCGAGCTTGACACAGTGTGTGTGAGTGACAGTTAGAGTCAAGAGTGTACATTCATATTGTACCTTACCTCAAGGGTTGGCGTACAATTTGAACGTACATTCTTGACATGTGTCAAAGCAGGCCAATTTACATGCAAGAATAGTTTGAAGTACACAGTTTTCACAAAGACAAGATTTTTGCCCAACGCGTATTTCAGGTCAAAATGCCCACGTGAACACTTGGAACACGTGGAATTTCTTGGTTGATAATCTGACATTTGAAGGCACAACATGGAAGTTTCTTGGTTCTGTACTTGTTCTTTTCTGGGCTGCTATCAGATATTTCGTGGTTGGTACATCCACCAGTCATTCTGTACTTCATGCATTGTCTGGACATTTTTCGTCTGTCCTCCAGTGACACCGACTAGCATGCCTGTAGCCATGGGGGGTTCGGGGGATTTGGAAGAACAAGGCTCAAAGGTCCACTTTTTGGTCCACTTTTTATCTAAAAGTCCAAGATTTCTCTTTAGATGGACTGATTTGTATCATCAGCGGGCCTGAATTTTTCTCTAAAATCCTCTCAAAAACGCACTGGAAATGCCATTTCAGAAGGTTCATTTTTCAAAATTTTCGGGGGGAAGCATGCCCCCAGACCCCCCCTAGGAACCTTGGCGCTCGCTGGTCCCCTCAAGTAGTGGGAAGAACCCCCTCATTCAAAATCCTGGCTCTGGGCTTGATAAGTGTCTTTTCATTTCCGTGACACTAGCACCCCTCTCATATAGTTGTTCGTGCAGAATCTTGCGGCTTGGTTCTGTATACCCTTTCCAGTTTATCTTTAATTTGTCTTTGTACTCCTACTTCTACTTCTATAAGATACTGAACAAGACCCTCACAGGGCTTCACGTTCAGGTGTCTTCTTTGTATATGGATACAATATTCTAGGTTGCAACTGAGAAAATATGTGCAGGTGTTCGAACTAATGACGACTTTGGAGTGTTCTCTTCTTTTGTACGAGTAGAACAAAGGCCTCATGGTACTTTGCAGCAGCTTGTTACAGTGATACAACTATCGCCGCATTTCACTGCCAAAATGTAGAGGAGAGATAAACACATTTTTCGTCTGTCTTCCAGTGACACCAACTGTAGTTTTTTTTTTCATTCCCGTGACACTAGCACCCCTTTCATATAGTTGTTTGTGCAGAATCTTGCAGCTTGGTTCTATACCCTTTCCAGTTTATCTTTAAATTGTCTTTCTTTATGGATCCCATATTCTAGGATGCAACTGAGACAGTAAGTGCAGGTGTTCGAACTAATGGCGACTTTGGAGTGTTCTCTTCTTTTGTATGAGTGGAACAAAGAGTTCATGGTGTGAGTTCACACTAAGCAGCAGCTTGTTACAGTGATACAAGTATCGCCGCATTTCACTGCCAAAATGTAGAGGAGTGATACACACATCTAGGTCAAAAGGCTGGAATCAAAACGTGTCATGAATGCGAAGTGGGGTTTGTATAAGGCCTTCTTAAACTCTGTATCCTTAGGCAATGATAACACAAAACCTTACATAAAGCACAAATCCACTAGTGTTGAATCATCAAGAGAAATCGGAACAAAACAAGATCAGTCAATGATAAGTAGATTAATTGGCACTAAAACTTTCAGTTTTCTTGTCCATCAGATCAAAGCTACTTTACTGCAGCTGGCTGAGTTTGATGCTAAGATTGCAAAGTTTCTGATATTCTTAACGAAGGCAGCATGATAATACTTGAGTATTGGTATGTTATTAATTCTTTCCTAGAACTATCGCAGAGTGGAACTCACTGTCATCAAGTACAGTAGGGACATTGTCATTAGATAGCTTTAAACAATGTCTAGAGCTAGAAGTTCAAGGGTTAGGTGTAACAAGTCGATCAGTGTAATATAGCCAGCTGCCAGCCACCTGCGAAGCTGGTGTGTTACGCTGAAAGGCGGTAATACCTGCTATACAGATACAGATATGTGAAAGGTAGACTGGGTACACAAATTTGGAAGGGCATACTCCGCCCCATATATGGGAGCCCGGATGGTGGATGGCGTGTAAAAAATTGCAAATGTTGCTGTCAAAATGTGGCCTTGGCAAAGAAAATAAAAATATCATAGATTATACATAATGTCATGTAAAAATAGACCTAGAAGTCTACCATGTCAGATAGAGTTTTTTTCTGTACTAGTATTTCTAAAAAGTCCTCAGACACCATTAAATGTTATCTTAATAGATAATGTAGGGCAGATGTTTTTCTTCAACATGTTTCACTTTTAAAATTTGAAAGAAGTTCTGTGAAACGGCCCTGTCCTTGGTACTGAAACGGTACTGAAATCACATGAAAAATAGGTTTGTTGTCAGTGTTGACGTCACACTACAAAGAAGCCACGTGACAACCCTCACTGGGTCAGTCTACTGAGGAAGACCAGAGTGACTGGTCAGAAACTTTTTGGATGGATGAAAAGTTTTAACTTTAAACACTACTAATTTCTGTGCATCCCAAGTACATTATAGCAAAAATGGTTTTGGGAACCTGGGATTGGTAAGGTCTCAATTGTTGGATCTTTCCCCCAGATTTCCAATTCCTACAAATTAGTATTGGTTTAAGTCAAGAGTTGAAACTCCATATAGTTGGCACTTCATGAGATGGCTTTACATGCTACACGTGCTTTGAGTGAGAGCTGATTTTTTGTAATTAGCAATTAACAGGATAATGTGTAATTACCTGCAGTGCAATTAACAGATTTCTACTAATTACATATATCGTTGTAAAATGAACTCACCAGTTTGACACATATAACAAAAGGTGGAGATGCCTCCTTGAAATGTATGATGGGAACTCTCGGCTTTGGCAACTCCTGTAACAGTTTAAAAAGTCAGACATTGTTAGGTCTAGTTCTGGAATCATGGGACAAGAACAAAATTCATATCAACTGTGCTTCAAATATTTTTATTTTATTTTTTGTTAAAATACATGTTAAGTTTCATTCTATATCCTTTTCTTTTTGTACTATGTTCAATCGTTGTTACTATACATTGTACCGTGTACAACTGTCATACAATAAAATTCTTTAATATGTAATGTTACAACCTGAACAATAAAGGATCAGCCATTGCATTTTGTAATATGAACTTGAGCAAGGTAAAACATCTGCACTTGTTTACGTCAGAGTAAATGCTTCCACAGTTGAAAGTACTAAGTATATTATTCACTTAAATGTTATTTGACTACATCCTTGCTTGGTGGGTACTGTAATTCACTTAATGTTCACGGTAGCAAAAGTTCACAGTCTGAGAAAAATGTATATATTCACGGAACTATACATTCACGGTGGCGACAGGTGCAGGAAAAAGAAAGTCCAGTAATTATTTGATAAGTTCACGGTACAGAAGTGACAGTGAAAACAGTGAACATAACAGTACCATGAAAAAAATCAGGAATTACAGTATGCCAGAAAGCATCGACTCATCAGCTCAAAAGGGAGCGCCGAACACTTAAACCTTATCCCAACACATCTGCCTTTACAACTCTCCTGTAGTTTGCGTGAATGGCCGTTTCCCGCAGGTATGTTATGCACACAGGAGTCCTGACCCTGGCACTCTAACTGCCTGTGGGTCAGCGGTGGCTATCTCAGTCCAACCCACACAGGTACCCCCTGAGTGCTCACATTGTGCCAGAGTGAGTGAGTTAACCTATAGAACCAGAGATAGCAGGCTGGGGCAGTCTAGTGGATAACATGTACTCCTACGTACGCTTGTCTTATACACTTTTCAGGTTGGCAGGATAACTTGGTTGGTAACTTTTTTTGCAGTACTGTAATTCACTTTGTCTTCATGGTAGTAAAATTTGATGGTCTGAGGAAATTGGACTTATTTTACCCAGTGGTAGAAAGTGCAGAGGAGCTAGGGGAAAGATAAATATTCTGATAACCGTAATCATTATGATAACTTCATGGTACAAAAGTGACCTGTGAAAAAAGTGAACATGAAAGTACCATGAAAAATAGAGGAATTACAGTACATGTTAAAGCCAGATGCTGCATGTTTACAATGTACGTACACATGTAGGGTAGCTTGTTGTAATACATAGACTCCTACTACTTAGCATTAGAATATAGCATTCCAGTATGCAACACTCATGTTTTTTATTCTCTCGACCACAGTTGGTTACATTTGTGCATTCAGCCCACCTGGGCAAGAACATGTGATAAAGATTCAAATAGATAATGACTTTATGTCAAGATGCACTCTCCTTCTTGTTGGATATCCCCCAACACCCCTAGTGAGGTATTTACCTGATGGGGTTTGGGGGATTATAGGAGAATTATACCTGTCCAGCCCTGAAGGTCTTTAACTGTCTGTACTTGTACAGGTATAGGCTACTACCTGATTCTACTGTCTAATTAGAAGGCCACACCAATTTAATTTCTTGGTTAATGGACTTTTCTAGTGAAATAATGGAGTGGGTGGGCGAAAAAAATAAAAAGATAAAAAGAGGCCTATACATGTATATAGGCATCCTATTTTGGGCCAAAATGGGACGATAGGAGCCATGAAGTCAACACACCAGGCTGGTTCAAAATTTAAACAACTAGGAAGAAAAGGACTGTTTTCAACTGTTCAAAGCAAAATATGAGCATTTTGCAGTTGATGCTGAATTTTTTTTTTGCAAATGAGAAAAGAATGAAGCGGGCAAATCCGTTAGCCAAGAAATTAAATTGGTGTGGCCTAAGTGGAAAAAAAAAAGAAAATCTATGTTTGCTGGGATTAACTGATAATTGAAGTCACGTCCTCCTCTGATCTGTGGGCAGGTTTTACAAGTCTGTGGGCAGGTTTCAGATAATTGATAATCCGCGGGCACTCTGACTTATTGAATCTGGTTCAGAAAGCAATGTTATCACAGAATCTGGTAGGATTTTTCTTGCCCGAAACTATAGGGAACTGGGGATTTAAACAAACTCGTTCTAAGGTTGTGCCAAAAGACATTCTTAGAGAGTCTACAAACTGAGCACTACAGTCACTGTACCGTTTGGTATATATGGCCAAAGTTTAGAACGTGCACAACATAATCACAGGCTAGGCCTACTTATTTAATAAACGTTTGTCCCACTACCAACAACATCCATCCAAAACTGCGTTGCTAACTTGCAATTCTTCATACACTGAGAAAAATATTTGATCCTGAAAGTATACGTAACAGACCATGTCTAGTAAACAGTTACTTCCAACATACATGTATTGTATTAAAGAAATTGGCAACAAATTTTGAGCCGATCACAAACTTTAAGATATTTGTTAAAGTAAAAGCCTATCTAGTACATATTTTGACTGTTGATAGTTGGGCCCACAAATTGTGAACATAAAGTCTGCCAGGATGAAAAGACTATGCTGAATGATCTTTAAATGCAATAGCTTTCATTCTGCATATTAATAAGAACAGAAATTACTATCAGTAAAGGTTGAATGTGCGACTGTATATGACAGTTATTGCCTTGAACCTACCCTTGATTCCTCGTATGTATAAAAGCCTTTCTCGATCTTTTTAACATCAACGTCACAGAACGCAGCTACCTGAAAACAACAACAACAACATCAGATGTTCTCACAGCTATCACCAGCACGTACTGCATACATATTATGTTTAGCGCTTTATGTACAGGATGTCACAGTTGTGGAATAACATAGGCGGCAACTAGCAAAGTACTGGATTGTAAATAGTGAATTGTGTTAAGTTTGCCATGTACTGTTAATTTTGTAATGTACCAAAATCTCCATCCTACTGAACACTCTGAATTTCATAAAAATCAACAGTTGTATCCTTTGATAATTGATAAAATCCTTTTTTTCAAACACAGTCAAACAATAAAGTCTTAAGACACACATCTGTAACATCTGTACCATTGTTGAAAATATAAAAAAATGTTAACTTGAATTTTTATTTGTTTATCTGTGTTGATAATTTCTTCCATGAAGTGGAATATTACATACTGTTGTCCTCCCATACCCTAATAACTGCCGTATCTTTGATATTGTGTTTAACTATATCCACCACTCTGGAAGATTTGACCAATCTCATTAATGTTATGCTATAGGTATTGGTGCGCCAGCCACTTTTATTTTATGTTTAATATGTTATACTTTATGTTATCTTTATGTTTACATTTGTATTATGTTTTATGAGCAGCAGATTCACATAAGCACAACAAGTGCTTCCTATCCAATGCTCAAAAATCCATGTGAATAAAATAAAAATACTGTAGTCTTGTGCAAAGGCAAACTAGAAAAACATCCGGGGAAAGTGGGGCACATTATGCAGCTGATATTTTGTTTTACTTATTTTATTCATAGCTTATATAAATAGGTTGTGTTACATTTGAATTCCTGTTATTATCATTTTAAAAAGTGAAATACCTGAATTTCTGTTGTTATTATCATGATAATTATATTTGCAATTGTTTCTGTTGTTATCATGATAATTCATACTGTTATATTTGATATTTTTGTTATCTTACACATTTATCATTTATAAGTTATCTTATTCTGGGAGTACGCTGGTTCGACCACCTGCCTGGCACCGAGCTCAGGCAAAGGACCCAGCAGCCTCCTGCTTCCCGTGTGGCAGTGATGCGCCGAGTCCGCTGGTACGGTCATGTCCTACGACTCCCACCCGACCACCCCACACAGGCTATCCTGAACTTCGGCCCCCAGTCTGCGGGGTGGAAGAGACCGCGGGGGGCCCCGCACCCGCTGGACGGACGTCCTGGCCAAGGACCTGGCCCTGGTCAACATCACCCCCGAAGAAGCGCAGGGGCTCGCCCTGGACAGATCGAGATGGAGAGAGGTGGTCCACCTAGTAGGCTCGACGCACATCGTGCAAGAGGACTGAGTGAGTGAGTGAGTGAGTGAAGTTATCTTAAACTTACAAGTTTATTGTTTCTTGCTGGGTGGTTTCCATCCCATATTTCTTTGTGGAAAGATCAATAACAAAAATAGAACTGCGACAGAGGCCGACATCGTCTACCAGATACCTTTGACCCAGTGTTGACGTCACACTTCAAAGAAGCCATGTGACAAGCCTCACTGGGTCAGTCTACTGAGGAAGACCAGAGTGACTGGTCGAAAGCTCTAGATGAGAGAATTTTTTGTGCTGGACCAAAAGTTTTAACGATAAACCGGACAGTGAGTGAGTGAGTGTGTGAGTTTAAACATGTAACGAGTACCAACAGGGATGAACTTTCATGATCATAACAAAAATATCTTTAATAAGAAATTCCGCATGCGTAAGTGTTGTTGTTCAGAAGTGAAGATGAATCTACTGGTGGGTAGGAGGACTGGAGTGCACCTGGCAGGCTTTTTAATTATCAGTATGGTTATTAGCTCGTATAATGGCCACGGCAATTATTTTCAAGAGCAAAACGCTGTTTTTTTTACGAATCTCACAGGAAGCTTGCCAACGAGTGTGAAGAAGGCTAAATTGGTACTTATCAGGCCATTTGCAGCTTTTACTTGTCATATGGTAGTGAGTGGGAGTGTGTAATGCATGATCATGTATCCTGCAGTCAGCTCAAGTTTTCAGTTGCTTAATTACAGTATTGCCGATGCTGAATTTACAATGAGCAGTGATGGAAAAAAATTTCACAAAATGAAGCTGAAGATATGGGCAAAAATAAGAATTTGTTATTTCATCTCCTACAGTCCTGTTTCTGGGACCCATGGGAGACACACTATTTCCCTATTTTTGGTCAAAAATAAGGCTAGCAAATAATTAAGTGTAACTCTATACAGGTACAGTACCCGGTACTGAGGGATTAGGTATTTTTGACCTGTACATATACCTAATCAATTTTTTAGGTACAGTATCGGTACTGTGTACCGGTACACAGCTCTAGATGACACTAAGGAATTTTGTACATGCCCCTGACTAACAGCATTTTCTATAGTTTGGCTGAATTTGTTATGAAAACCACCCATGGCATTCCCATCAACTCCCCAATTTCCTGCTGTACACCTATAAAGGCTGTATGTTGCATGCAATTATTATTGTACAATGAATGCAGTGGAAAATGAAATACATTTTGTTAGCCAGTGTCCTCACTATGAGACCGAAAGAAACAGATTATTTCAGACAGTTACAACAATTTCTCCATCCTTTCGTCATTTAGAAGATCACCAAAAAACTGCATTTCTACTAAGATCACAAAACCCACTAATTATGCAGAATGTGGGACTATTCATTATCCACTGCCTTCAAAGAAGAAGTCGAACCCCATAATAGCTAGCGTAGTAGTAGAAGTAGAAGTTTTTTCCAGACAGTTGTTACCTGTCTCCTGTTACTGTATTGCAATGAGTATTATACTTGATTGTAAAAGCAATTAGCCTTCGGGCATGATTTTGCGAATAAAGTTTCTAATTAATGAGAGTAGTGATTAAAATACAGAGTACAGCTACTCAAAACAGAGAGACGATCATACAATTGTACATGTATGCACAAGACGTTGTGCTCGTGATGCGACTGTGAAAATTTACTGTTAGTCTTAGAGGCATCCAGTGCAGTTTTTAGGGCTTGGAAACCGGATTTTTCAAAGTCAATGTTCTAGTCGTTTATCTACATGTACATAGTGAGTTGAAACCACACTGTCCTAATTTTGTTTGTTTGTTTATTTAGATCTCCATTAGTATGGAAGTCAACTCCATACTATTCTTCCTGGAGTCCTAATGTATATTGGCCCTCTTGGAACAAAAATTCCCAAAATTCTGATGGAAGATGGTTACTGGAAGGGCCCTTGGCTGATTTTTGGGGTACCACCCATAAAATAAAGGACTCGTCTTGGGGCTTGTTTCTGCAGTTGTAAAAGCCCAAGGTATAAAATACGTTTTATGTTCCGTACAGTCCCTCACAAAGGCTCCAGGCTGTGATAGAATTTAAGGTCTGATTTCAATTTGCTGATACCAACTTTATATTTGGTGGCTGGATGAAAAATATGGACCAGACATGAGACTTAGTGTTATTTCCACATAAACTTAAACTCCATAAGGGAGCCTAAATTGTACCCACTAAAATTTATCAACACATAAAAATCCTTCTTATACCTTCTTATCTTCTGAAAGGGAGATGATGAGATAAACAAATGGCTGGCATGTTCGCAACAAGGGCAACTCAACCCTGCAGTACCTATAAAATACAATAGGTGGTGCTGCAAAACAGACCTATAACATGCATGACATACATGTAGACAAACATTAACATTGCATAGCACTTAGTACAATAGTGAACTTTATTCCAAAACAAGGGTACGCTGCATTGTATTATGAATAAAGTTCAGAATTGTACGTATACTATAATGATAACTACCAACTACAGATTAACTTCCATGACAATTATACAGCACTATCAAGAGCACGTTGGCAGAACGTACTGCACCTGCGCAAAACTTGTAATGTATTGTGCATAGCACTTCGACAGAACATCTCATATATTACAAGGCTGTATTCACACATCCATGTATATGGCTAGAATTCCAACAGTAGTTTTGAAATGTTATGTCAGAAAAGATATTATATGCAACAGGCAATATTCTGAAGCAACATTGACCAAAAATCTGACGAAAACCGCAAAGATCCATAATTCAGTGCACAGGCACAGTACGTTCTGCCTACATGCTACTATCAAGCAGTATGTCAGTCCAGCGTGCAAAATACCTGGTTGCCCAGTTGCCCCGGGCAACCAAATTTTACTTGGAGCAACCTATTTTTGAACCTAGGTAGCCCAGTGTGCTACCTGAATTTTAAGAATGTCCCCCCCCCCCCAAAAAAAAATCATGCTTGCACCACTGTATCCGGCAGATTGCTTTTTAATTTTAGGTATTAGGCTGTTAGAAATATTGTCAAAGGCTTATGTATGTAACATTACAGTTTGAGGAAAGTAGTAACTTATAGGTGGGGCAACCTAAAATTCTGATGGGCAACCTAATTTTTGCCGTAGCTGGTTCAAAAAAGTATTTTGTACACTGCAGTCTCACCTTAGCTTTACTTTCTTTAGACAGGTCCCTATAAAATCGTCTTCCCTGTTTTCCAGCGTTCCAGATGGTGAACCTGCTCCAGTTGACCAAAACCCTGACCTGCAGGGCTGCCAACTGTATGGTCCATATCGTTTCTCTGAAAAAGAGACACCTTGCATATCAGAGTGGAGCTGCAGGAACCAGGCTATTTTTTCATTGACTTCAGTACACCACAAAGCAGCAACATAAATTTGACCATTATAATTATAGTTAGTATATCATCTTTTGAGATAAACTCAGTACATGGACCAGTGCAGGTTACAGGTGTAAGCTACAGGATTGTGTACATGTAGGTGCAGGTACAAATGTAGGCATCAGAAATATCTGCAAAGCTCCAATTTTACCTGCACTTAAGTGCATCTGTACCCAGTATTCCATGCCCTGGCAATGTGATAACAGAAGATGGTAATAAAGGCTCACAGTTGGAAACTATTAGATTATGGCCTTTGGCATTAACCATATTTGTTCAAGCAAGAGTGCACTTTACCAGATCGCAGGTTTTCCTACGAAAACAATAAAACAGATAAAAGCTAATAGTCACCTGTGTACAGAAGCTGTTGCGGCCTGCGGGTGATACCTGTAGGTAAGCAGGTGCTCGTCCACACGTATCACCTGTCCTCCCAACCGCAGGTGCTCCAGAAAGAATATCAGGTCTTCAGGCACACCCTGCATTCAGCAAAAGGATTTTAGAATGTAATAGCTTGAAGGCTACTGGCAAACAGATATTGACAAGAACAATGAGTAGAACAGAATGTAATAAGGAATGGTAAATATAATAAAACCATATGCTAACAAGTTTTATGTTAGTACTAATCTAACTTTCTATCTCTCTATCTTCCTATCTGAAAAAATTTCCTTGCTGTAAAAATTCTTATATAATGAACTATGTCATATATATTATATTTCGTATTGGGCAAGTGAAAAGTTGTTTCGGGCAAGTAGAAATGACCATGAGCTTGTCCGATAGGGCAAGTGGATTTTTGAAAACTTGTCCAACCCTGTGTAAAAGAATCACTGGTAGGAATTGACATTAGAATTTAGATTGCTCCAACTACCATGACTCTTAAACGATGAGTAGATATAATAGCACAGTATCGATATGTGTACCTTTCCTCCTTCATGAAAGCCTCCAACCTTGTCCCACACAGAACGGGCACAGAACCATGTGGGCATGATCACTGTAGGACCATTGGCTGTGTAGATCTGATACATGTGCACAAGACAAGGGATTCAAAGGATCAGAACACTGATTTCAAAAGGCAGTCTTCATCTGTAGATGTTTCCTCTAAAGGATAACAACAAGATATCCATGTGGTATAATGTCAGCAGTTAAGTACGGATACATGTTAGGCCCAGTCCTGTACATGTGTCTGAACAATTCACAAATTGTCCTTCTGAACTCCTTCAATAACAACAGAAACACTAGAAAAGTAACATTTGCAAAGCAAATGCATAATGTTTACCTTCGGATATGGTCTGCTTTGTTAATTCTAAACACATTCACGTACATGTATATGGTGACGGGAGTCTAAATGCCTACTATGAGATTGCAACATTATGTAACCCAACACCAGTTACTATGGTGACAGACGTCAACAAAAGAGGCCATTGGCCAGGTCAGAG